AGTTATGACACATATAACGAAAATTTAAAAAGAACTCAAAATAAAATATCAGTTAACCTATAGTGGTGGTTGATAGGAATTTTTTTCTTTACCAGATAAGCCAAGAGCCTACTGCTATTTCTTATTCCAACAATTATTCTAGAGAAATATGAAAGTAAATAGGTAGAACAAAAAGTATATAGAGGTATGATTTTTTCTCTCTTATACTTGACAACTTCTAGGCCTGACATTTTATTTAGTGTATGGTTACGTGATAGATTCTAATCAAATCCTAGAGAATTTAACTTAACAATTGTTAAGAGGATCTTTAGAAATATGAAAGGTACTAATAACCTTGGCTTTATTTATTGAAAATCCCAAGAGTACAAGTTAATATGTTATTGTGATACTGACTATGCTGGAGACAGGCTAGAAAGAAAGAGCACCAGTGGAAGCTGTCACTTTCTTGCTGAAAATCTTATTTCACAGTCCAACAAGAGACAATCAACAATAGTATTGTCAACTGCAGAAGCTGAATATACTGTAGTATCTAGATGTAACACTCATATACTCTGGATGAAAATTCAACTATAAGACTATCAACTTTATGATAGTAAAATATTCATATTCTTTGTGTTAATACTTTTGGAATATGTTTATCTAAGAATTCTATTTTGCACACTATAGCGAAACACATTGAAATTAAACATCATTTTATAAGGGATTATGTTCAGAAGGGTATTATCAATTTAAAATTTATAGATACGGACCATCAATGGGCTAATATCTTCACAAAACCCCTTGTTAAAGATAGATTCGTGTTTATTCTAAAAAATTTGAAAATAGAACTTTGTCTAGAATAAAACAATTTAAATGTTTGTAGCATCTGGAGTGTCAAAATAAGCCTCTAAGATAACTTAGCTCAAAATCAAAAGCTCCAAAGTCAGAACACCTTTCGAAAATTCTCTCTTTTAGACTCTGAGTTTTTAAAATTAACGGTGGAAATCAAGTGTTGTTTTGTGTGGTTCTAATGTAACACAACTATCTTACGTTAAGCCATCTGAATGTTTGAAGTGACCCATTAGGATACTATATTTCTTGGGTAAAGAGAAAATCATTTTCTTGAGTAAATATAAAATAATCTCATTCACTTCCCTTGTCAGTTTATGTGTTTTCAAAATTTATTAATTATTACTTTTTTCTATTCAAACTCACTTTCCATGCATAACTTAACTCTCACTTGAATATTTTATACCCTACAAGCCCTAAAACTTCTATGGTCGTTCAACAAAACTCGACTGAAATGGTTGGAACATCTCTATCAACACCAACAACTCTCTTAGAATATTTTAGTGGGAAGAAACTTTAATAAAAAGCATGGAGGATATGATTAATTATTTTTACTCAGAAAACATTACAAGATTCAGAATCATTTCAAAAGAAAGCAAAAGCCCAACTAAAGATTACAATCTTCAGACTACATCTGCATGCCAACCACTATTTTAAGGAAGGTCATATAGTCTTCATCAGTGCCTGATCCATTATCTTCATGTGGCTTCTTCTTCTTCTTTTTTAGTTTCTTCATCTTTGTAAATGAAGTCCTTCCTACCACAGAAGCTCCAGCAGATAAACAAACTTGTGTTTTGGAACCTTTAGTGGCCATGTGCATATCATCTTTATGCTTCTTCTCAGCATCTTTGAGTTTCCAAACGACATTGCTAACTTACTTGAAGGAATCCTTCTTAGAGCTCTCTGATAAATTTCTCATGTCTAAGAGAGAAATGAAAAAGATCTAGATGGCAAACAGAGGATTGCGATCCGCTAGTAACGAAGTCGCCTTCATATAGAGAGTTTTGGGATTGAGCAAAATTTGTTGTAGTTAATGTGTTCAAGTGGACAAAGGAGAGATAATTTGTTTTGGTCTTCAGGCACATCTTCCCAAGTTTTACTGCTATTGGATTGAACCAACTCGAGAATTAAAGAGATGTTGTTGACCATTCTAGAAAATTGCCGTTATTTTCTTTTACTATATTCTTTTTAATATGCAACGTCTTTTCAAAGATCTTTTTAATGTTTTTATTATTGTTATTTTTCGATGTTGTGAAATAATGTCGTCTGACAAACGTGTTATGTTATGTACCTTGTCATAAACGTTATTACTCTTGCTTTTGTAGGTAAGTGTTGAGTCTAATTTCTTTTCATCCCTCTATCCTATTTCTTTCTTGATCTTTTCAACTTCTCTTCTATCCCTATTTAAAATCTTTTTTTACCTCTCACCCCTCATTATCTCTCGTGTCTTCTCAAAACCATTTATGAAAGTTTGTTTTCCTTTATCTCAACTCTAATCAGAAATGGATTCTAACACTTTCTTTGGTGAAGAAAACTCCTTGTGTATAATTTATGATAATTTTGTTGATTTCACTGCGATCAAAGGTTAAGGTTTTGATCTCCCTGATGTCGTTGTCATACCCTAAATTTTAGCCTTAGATTCTTTGATCTTTTGTATATCATTCTAGGCCAATCATCCATGCATAACTAACCAGTTTTTAGTCTTTGTTTGTTTTGTTTCACTTGTGAACCAGGGTTTGCTTCAAAGGTTCAATGGAATGATCAGTCGATGTTTTGGATGGATCGCCAGCCAACCAAGTATCTCATACTTGTCGCGGTGAAATTTGGATACCAAACTATTGATTAACTTGAATCTTTAATTCATTTTCAACCGGTCTTTGATTTGTCCAAAGGAAGGGAAAAAGATCAAAATACCCACAATGCAATGAAAATGCAAAGGTTAAAGAGTTTTAGGTTCGGGGGTTGGTTAAACTTAGGGAAGGTGCTAGCATCCTAAGTTTCTGTAGTACTCTAGAGGAACCTCTTGTTTTATGTTGTTTATTGCTAAGGGTTATCTACTTAAGGGATAAAAGACCTAGGGGTTTAATTCTAAGTATACTCGATAAGATATCGCATCTTATGCCTACATATCTTGACGGAAATGGAATCAGAGTATTTGTAGTTCCCCTAAAGGGTTTGAGGAGTTCTTTGACTGTGGTCAAAGTTCCTAATGGATAAGGATAGTTGATTGAATGGTTTTAGGAGAAAATGTGAGTTGTCATTTTAAGGGAGATTACTTAACTAGGCCACCACGAATTGTAGAGATGTATTGATGTGGGGCATAAGTTTTATCTCGCTTAAGATGATTGACATCTTATTCTCTATTGTGTTTGAATAATGTGAATTGAATTGTTTTTATCTAAGTTGTAAAATAAAAGACAAGGTCCTCCTATGGGTAGGATTTATCTTAAGTGACCGACTTGAATGAGATCAAGGATCAATGGGGAATATGATGCAAATGAGATGCATACGCGCAAGTTTTACGTTACGCGCAGATTCTTCCTTTGGACGTTATGCGATGCAGTAAAATAAATTGCGGAAATGATAAATTGCAGAAAATAAAGGCAGATAAATAAATCCATACACAAACGCATGAAAGCGTTAAGTGAGTGAATTGTGAATGTGTCAACGGATCGTGCTAGGAGATGGAAGCGTGCGCGATTGATTAAGTTTTAGGGAGATTGATTTTAGGAGCGAAGTTGAATTTGATTTGGATTAATTTTAAGAAGGAAGTTGCATTAGATTCGTTTTAGTAAAATTGTTTATTATCAAATAAAAGTTAATTTACTTAAGAAAACGGTTTTATAATATTAAAAAAGAAGAAGAAGGTTTAGTTATTATTATTAACAATGGAATATATGTTATTTAAATTATGGAAATGATTTTTATTATATAAAATTGTTTTTCTTTTACTTAAATTATTATAAGTTTTATTATTATTATAAAGACTATTTTAAATGTGAAAATGGTTTTTTTTAGAATATGAGCAAATTATATTATTATAAAAAAAGGGATTAAAAATTATGAATAAGTCAAGGTGAATAAATGATTATTAAATAAATTGATACATAAAATTTAAATTAATAAAAACTAATGAAGTTAAAAGGTTTATTTAAAATAAAAGGTTTACTAATTGTTTTAATTAAAAGGCTGACTAAAAAGTTTACTAATTGTTAACTAATTAAATTAGTATTAAGTTAAAACGATTAAGTTAATCAAAGGCAGTTAAAGGTTTTAATAGGTGGTTTTAAGGGGGCGAGGGATCAGGTGTTACGCGGGTGTACGGATTACGGTGGGTGCGCGAGGCGTGAACCATTAGATCAGATCCGTTGGAGATCTGAGGGTGATGTGTGGTGATTGTGATGATGGACCATGGTACTACCATGATCGTGTGCGCAGATGATTACAACCAATAGAAACAAAATTACAAAAAAAAACCTAATCCCAATTATCTCCCCCCTCCGCTGTTTCCTCTCATTTTCCTCGCTAATTCTTCTCTTGTCTTGCTCCTCTTCTTCTCTTCCACAATTTCCCTGCTTTGTTCTTCCACTCGCGTTTTTTTCACGTCGTCGATTTCTTCTTCCTCTGATTCTGCTTCTTGCTCTTAAATTTCTCGTGACCTATCGAAATCTCATAAAACAAAACATCAATCAAGAATTGAAAACGTCAATTGAAAGAAAGCTTATCCATGATGAATAATGAAGGTGGCTCGCCGGTGACTTGGTGGTTTCACGGGGACTCCGGCGGTGATAACGATTTGCGGTTGACGATGGCGGATTCGAACGAACACGGAGATAAGTTTCTTATTTTTACGAATTTTAGGCTTTCTAGATTTTTTTGATTTGTGGATTTTGTGGCTGTTGAATTTTTGTGGTTTCTGTATGCATTTTTTCTTTTGTGTTGTATGGTTGCTACCTTTATAGGCTTTTGCTGACGAATCTTTGCATTGAATGTGATAAACATTGTCTTGAATACCTTCTACTTTCGTCCCATGATGTCCAGAATTTTATTGAAAATATGTCGGGATTATGTTTAAAGTTGTTTTGGAAATAACTTGAATTTGTCTTGATTTGCAGGAAACAACATTAAGGCTCCTTCCATCTGTGTTGGTGGCTCTTCAATGTATCTGGCTATCACGTTCTTAAAGAAAGAAAGATTAGAACCGATGTCAATAACCACGCAAATTCCTTCTGTTTCTCATCAATGTTAGAGACAATGTTCTTTCCAAAAATCAAAGCATCTCCAGAAGTAGGGGGAATAAGACCAACAAGCATTGATATTGTCGTGCTTTTTCCAGCTCCATTATGTCCTAGAAGAGCAAGAATCTGATTTTCATATAATGTCAGTTTTAATGAGTTAACAGCACAACAATCTCCTTCTTTAGCATCATACACTTTATGCAAATTTCTGATTTGAATGCACCTGCCATCAAGCTCCTCTTGTTTCATGTCTAAGCTTATTGCTTCTATAGCAGGATTGGTAGTATCTTGCCCAAAGAGATTCCCTTTCGGCTCAGAACTATTACCAGTAATTTTAACTTTAAAACTGGAGGAACAATTATTTACAATTTTTTTCTTTCTCCACAAGTCTTTTTTGAAAATAAAGTTCCATGGATATTGCAGTCCATACTCCCTTGGAAGAACCTTATCGAAATACAGTCCAATTGCACAATAGAGCAGTGTATCAAGTATCATCATTAGAAGACATGCGGAAAAGTTCACTCCAGAGGACTCCCGCCATATGTTGCTCCAACGCAGCCCAACATGAGCACGCTCATAATCAGCAAAGTTGACAGAACCCAGAGCAAATGCCGTAGGTGAAAGTAGAGACGGAAGAACCTTCAAGATCATAGAAACTCCCTCATCGTTGACAGTGTAATAAGGGGAAAACGCACCAAGAAATGATAGAGTTCCAACAACTACAGCTGTTTTGGCCCTTTTGAAAAAGGTGGATATAAAAAATGACAACATTATTGCACTAAGCCCAAAAATGAAGAAGTATGCAAACACCAGTGTCTTATCACTATATTTGAATATATTATCCATGGTGCAAGCTGTAATAACCGGAGAAGAAATTGCAAACTACAAAGCATATGTGATAAACCAAGAGAGATGAAATATGCCATCTTTTAAGCCCATCATATAGAGTCCTTCTTTGATCTTTTGTTCCTTCTCAAACACAGAATAAATTATCAGGCGAGAAACTGGATAGAGAAACCCCAATAAATACAATATTCCCATGAATTTCTTTACTATTGCCTGGAATTGGTCATCCGTGTACTCTTGAGTATATTGGAATAATAATAAAGGTGAATGAACCTCCTATTATCCTTAGAAAATCACTTTAAGTTAATGTGCTTTGTAGCCCAAATGATGAATCTCGCGCTGAATTTTGTGACAAGATAATGAACTTAAAACTTGGATCCAATGACATGATCTGGCCGTTGATCGGCATCATAAAAAAAGTTAGGATAAAGAAAGTATTCAAAAGGTAATGGTTTGTGTAAAAAACTACTTGTTACTTGAATTCTAATAAGAACTCAAAATTAACGTTATTCCATCTCTAGATGCCACTTGAACTTCCATGAGTCTGTTAGCCTAGATCTTCAATTTAATCGCAAGTCCTTTCCTTCAGATAAATCTCTTGACATGAAACACTTCAATTTACGGAATGTTCAAACGATCTTTTTGACGATGGCAGTCTTAGTACAAAATCAAAGTTGTGAAGAATACCCATAAGTAGAAGTATCACTTATCATGCAATCCTATTCTTGAAGTCCCCTTGAGAAAGATATGAGATTTTTCAACTGTCCTGGAATCCTCTTAATAATTTTATTAGTGAGCAAGAAAGCTATCTCCACTTGGAATTACTGCAGTTCCACACACTAGTTAGTTATAATGAATATGCATACAAAAGCAAAATAAAACCAACAAGAAGAGCACAAAGAGGTGGAATCTTATGGTCAAAAATTAGGGTGTGACAATACTCTTAAGAGGCATCCCTTCTTTATTAATCCAGTGTAATTTGGTTTCATCATAAGTTCTTCAAGACTCAGGTCTTGCAGGACCGAATCAAGGATCATGAAAGGTTACTATGTCAGGGGTGTGTGCGGTGTGATTTATGATTTAGTGGAAGTTTGACCTAATCTTGGTCAAAGCAGTGGTTTGTTTCAGTATCAGGTTATCAGGTCATGACAAAGATTCTGAATTAGGGTTTTGGTTTTCACTAAGTCATTGTTTCATCAGTGAACTCAAGGACTGAAGATTAGGGATTCTCACTCATTGTGTTTAAGATGGGAAAATATCGTGTAATTCAGGTTCACTTGAGGCTAGCAGGTTAAAGGTATGTGTGCAGTTGTCTGATCTTGGTCAAGAAAGAGAAGTTTGTGTCATTCTAAAGATCAATTTTCCTTAGTTCAATACCCTATATCTGAAGATTATCAAACCAGGGTTCCCGTGTCAATTCAACTTCGTCAGGTAGGTTTAGGTTGCAGAGCCATTAAAGAGGTTAAAGTAGTTGAGTTGTGTGCGAGTATAGGTTGTGTGGTCCAGGTTTTGTCATTGTTTCCAAGAGTTCAATCTAGTTATTCAGTCTATATCCATTCTTTCTAAATCTACATTTGTTATCCACTTTTCCATTTCAAATATCCAATATTCATCATCCAATTTTCAATAACCATCATCTTTTTTTACTTAACCAATTTTATGATTTTTATCATGTCCAACCAATTTTATCTAATTTTCTAATACAAACCATATCCATATCCATATTTTTCAATTCAATTACCCATATTTTATTGATCCATTTCCAATAATTCATACCATTTCAAATCCATTTCCTTTCAATAATCATTCAATATTCAATTTTTTATATAAAAAAAGGGACCCTCATACAAAAATACAAGAAACTAATTCAAGTCAAAAGCCCAATTGTATTAAGTGTCCATTTACAAAAGCTCATTGTCAATCTTTAGCCCATAACATCCATTAACCAAAAAGTTACAATAAAATTTTAAAAAAAATGAAGTAGCATATCTCACATTCCACAATTCCACCATCTTGTACCAAAAGTCCATGCACATAGCTCTATAACGTTATCCTGCAAAAAGTCTTCGTCACAACCCAAAGTTGCACCAAAATGGACTAATCTGTTACACCAATAAAATTTCTAAACTCTGCAAAATCATGCTACAATGTTGTTAACCAAAGCAGACCTGCTTACACTAAGCCAAAAACCTGCAAGTGAAGATAAAAATCCTGCTTCTTGAAAGTAACATCTCATAACACCATTAATTGAAAATTTGAAAAGGGACATAATGGATTGAACGAGAGGGGAGTATTGGCAGCAAATAACTTGTCCCAATTTTTTTCTGATAGAATAAAAAGAAAAAAACTTTGAAAAAAGCGGATGGGGACCCTTGGTGGTACCATCTTCCATTGGTCATCTTAAGAAACAGACCTAAAAAAAACCTGTCTGCCAAAAAATGAAACATAACCTCCTTCCACTCTTGAAAAAAACTTACAAACATTTCTTTAATCCCAATATTAACCTTAATCAAACCAGAAACGAGAAACTCAATTCAAACCGCAAGTCTGCAGAAACAAAGCAAAACGAAATTCAGAAGCAAACGTGAGCGAAAGAAGAAAATAAAATTGAAGGTCAGAGATCGAAAAAGGTTAAGCTGTAACCTTTCATTTCTTTTGACTCGTCATTTTCTTTATTTTTATATTCTTGTTTTCCTTGACATCACATTTCCAGTTTATTTCTCTAATGGTGAAACGCGATAAAGGGGAGGAAGTTCCCTGAGCGTGATTATTGATCGTGTTTCTGAGTGAATCCTTGTAAGTGTTTTATTCTCTCTTGGCTGTTTTATATTTCTTTCCTTTTAGGATAATGTTTTAGCCTTAATACATAGTCGTCAGCTGGTTCAACCGACCCATATTGCAAATCAACCAGAGTTGGCATATGGGCCAAACGCCTTTAGGGTTTGAGGCCCATATTTCTTTTTCTTTTTTTTTTCATCATCACTTTCTTTTTTTTCTAGAAGATGAGAATAGGTAATGGGCTTTGAGCCCATATGACCTTTCTTTCCATTATTGCTCCCTTCTTTTTTTAGTTAAAATACTTAGTAAAGAAAAACTCATGTTAAATACTTTATTAGTTTTTTTTTTATAATCCTGTTAATCACTTTGTAAATTGTTGTTCATTTTAATCTTTAGTATTTATATTATTAATTATTAATGTTTGGTCTTGATTAGAAGTTTTCATTTTAGGAAATTTATTTTCCAGTTACATAATGAAAACTAAAGAATATATATATATATATATATATATATATATATATATATATATATATATATATATATATATATATATATATATATATATATATATATATATATATATATATATATATATATATATATATATATATATATATATATATATATATATATATATATATATATATATATATATATATATATATATATATATATATATATATATATATATATAAGTTTTATTTAGTTAATTTCCTTTTTGATTTAACCATTAATTTCGCGAGTGTGCGACTTAGGTTCTTTATGTTTGAGTTTGATTTCAATTCTTGCCTTAACCATGTCATCGTTTTTTTTTCTTATGCTCATCATTCATCCTTTGTGTGTTTGTTTGCTTTAGTGTTTTAGGTTTGCTTTACTTGATTAACTCATATTGACGTTTGAATTGTACCTCGATTGTTTGCTTGTTGTTGTATTCACATGTTCCTTTATGATCTCTTAGTCCAACTTAATTTTTGATTAAGATTGGAGTAGGATAGATTTTTTAGGTTTTACTTTTGTATGACAACATTAGGTTAGAATTTCCATTTAATCTCATTCCAAAGGAAAGGATTTTATCTATTGACTGTCATGTCATGTTTAGGATAGCTTAACCTACCTTACTCCTGCCTTCCTTTTATCCTAGCCTTAGGATTAGATTCGACATACTCTATGTAAGTGTCTTGCCATGGACATTCACCTTCCCTTTTTCATCCTATCCTTAGGATTGGAGTCGCCGCACTCTATGTGAGTGTCATGGTTATGAACACTTACTCTTACCTTCCATTTTATCCTGGCCTTAGAATTTGAGTCGCCGCACTCTATGTAGTCGTCTTTCCATAGACACTTACTTTCTCCCTTGGAAACTTGATCACTATCAAGTGTTCCTCACCCTTAGAAGTGAACTATGAATGCTCGGATTCATCCCAGTTAGGATACGTAGGTAGGAAATGCAATGTCTTGGCGAACATACTTTGTATATACCCTAGGTCTTTACCTTAGAAGCTTTTCCTTAGCAAACAAACAATAGCATAACATAAATACAAATAAGAGGTTCCTGTAGAGTACTATAGATATTTAGGATGTTAGCACCTTCCCTAGGTATAACCAACCCTTAAACCTTAGATTATCTTAGCTTTGTTGTTATATAGCGCACTTAGGATTTTCTTCGATCTTTACCCATTCCTTTGGATAAATTAAAACTCGGTGGCGAACTTTAATGATTTGTGATACAAGATAATCAATAGCTTGATATTCGATTCTCACCACAACAAAAATGGCGACTTCACTGGAGAAACTCCCCTAAGAGGGTTAGGCCTACCTTATTTGCATTTGTGTTATTTTATATGTTTGCTTGCTTGTATACTTGTATATTTGTGTGTGTGTGTGTGTGTGTGTGTATATATATATATATATATATATATATATATATATATATATATATATATATATATATATATAATATATATATATATATATACATATATATATATATACATATATATATATATACATATATATATATATATATATATGTATATATATATATATATATGTATATATATATATATATATATATATATATATATATATATATATATATATATACATATATATATATATACATATATATATATATATATATATATATATATATATATATATATATTTGTTGATGTCGTACGAGTAGTAGTATTGGCGTTACTTTTTTCGACCTGGGAGTCCGT